TTTTTTAAAAATCAAAATACTCTCATTTATTTACAAAATCAAATAGCACTCTCTTTTTCTTCCCACTCTTCCACATAGTCTATTTTTGCCTCCCCAGAGGAACCACTTTTTATTCTCAGGTGATGACACTGACATTTATCTCCATATTCAAAATGCTTCTTGGCTTTCTCTTCTCTCTTTCTCTATAATTGAGGTACAACACATATAATAAAGTGTACAAAACAGAAGCTTAGAACTCAATGAAATTTTACACTTGTTAATATCTACATGCATAGTGTATATTATCTCTGGCTTTCTTCACTCAAAATAGCTTTGCGTATTTGTCACTTTGTGTATGTCTTGTTTATTCTTTTTTTAACCGATGCGTAGAATTCCTCTATATGAATATCTAACAGTTTAATTATCCATCCTCCCAGAAGTAGATATTTGGGTTGTTTGGATTGATTACAGTTTTGTGCTATTGTGAAAAAAGTTGTGTGTGAGGGGAAAAACCAGATTTTTTTCCTTCTTGTGTAGGGAAAACCCAGTTCTGCCCTATTATGTCCTTCTTTCCTATGAGTCTGTTTTACTACTCGCACAAAACATTTCTGGTGAACAAATGTGTTTTTTTCCTATACTAAGCAATTTTCTGCAATCCCACCTGAGTATCCTATCATTCTAGTCAGTTCTGACACTTTCAACCTGAAAAAGGCATGCCAGTTCCAAGCGCAAGTGATCAACTGTGCTTCTGAACAAAAGACGGTAGATAGAAGATTCCCAAAACAAGATAAAACAAAACAAAATCCTGGGCTCAACTAATTCTCTAGAGTGACTCACAGAACTAGAGAGAAATATTTCACTTACTTTTACCTGTTTATTATAAAAGGCTATGATAAATGATACAGATGAATATCCAGATGGAAGAGACATGTAGGGTCAGGTTTGTGAGAGGAACTGTAGAGCTTCCATGTCCTCTCCAGGGACCATTCGCCTAGCACCTCTGTGTGTTCACCGACAGAAAGCTCTTCAGTAGGTCTGGGGTCTGGGCAGTGGTCCTACAAGATGACTCCCCAGCCCACTTGTCATTCTGCATTTTCATTTTAACTGCACCCCACAAATGATATAGCAAGTCCTACTTAACTGGCTAAGATCACCTATAAAATGTTGAACAGAATTCTTCTTATTCCCAAACTCAGAGGTAAAGCATTCAATATTTCACTGTGACTATTAATTATAGTGTTTCTGATAAGTATTCTTTATTTATTTAAATTGATTTTTAAATGTGAAACCAACTTTCATTTCTAGAGTTAAGTGCCCTTAGGAATGTTGTTTTGTCCTTTTTACATAATGAAACATTGATTTGCTATTATTTTATTGAGCACTTTCCCCCCATTTTCCTGAATGATACTAGTATTCAACTTTTTCTTTTCTATGTTAATGTCAGATTTTGGTATCAAGATTGTAATGGTTCATTAGGTAACTTGCAATTTGTGGCTTCTTTTCTACCTGTAGAAGAATTTGTGTAGGGTTTTTAATGATATAGAAACAATTTTCAGAAAGCTCACTATAGTGAGGCCATGTAAGCATAGCCTTATGGGAGAAACTTAATAATCCTGAAATTATGGATTCAGTTAGTTTAACAGATAAAGGGTTCTTTATATATTTATTTTTCTCTTATGATGGTTGACAAATTGTGTTTTTTTCTGCCCATGTTTTATTATTTGCTACCTCTACTGTCTTTTATTTTAACTTGCTACTTTTTCCAGTTCTTTGAGTTGCAACTTTGCCTATTAATTCCCAACGTTTCTTTTTTCCTGACAAATATAATTTAAATTCATAAATTTGTCTCTAATTACAAATATTCCTTGACTTACAATGGTGTTATGTGCCAAAAAACTTATCATAAGCTGATAATATCTTTAGTCAAAAGTTCATTTAATATACCTGAACTCTGAACATCATAGCTCATCCTAGCCTAGCTTAAACATGTTCAGAACACTTATATTAACCAAGAGTTGGGCAAAATTATCTAATACAAAGCCTATCTTATAATTTGATGCTGACTACCACATATAATTTATTTGGCACTGTACTGAAAGTGAAAAACTGAGTGGTTGTCTAGGTTCAGAAGGGTTGTGTGTTGGTTGTTTACCTTTGAGATTGAGTAACTGACTGGGAGCTGCAACTTGCTGCTGATGTTCAGCATTAAAAGACAGCATCATACTAGCCCATGAACAAAATTCAAAATTAGAAGTGCAGTTTCTACTGAATCCATATTATTTTTGTACCTTCGTAAAGTTGGAAAACAATAAGTCAGGGACTTTCTGTACTGCTTTTGCTGCATCTTACATGTTTTGATATGCCATATATTCATTAATATTCAACTAAAATATTTCCATTTGAAGTGGGACCTAAGAATGGCCAAATCCTGCCCTGCTCACCACAGGGAAGATTCCTGAAGATGCTGTATATATTAGCTTAAGACAAACAGAAAGTGAAGAAGGACTTTTAGCTGATCCCTGGACCTAATTACCTCCAGTATCTAATATCACTGGTCCTCTGATTACCTCTAGGAAAGGTAAGTTTGAGGTTCTTGTCTAAGTAGAGTTTCCTACTTCCTTCTGAATCCAGAATAGCAAGCTCAGGATTCCTACAAGGATGAGGTGGAAAGATAGCACACACCTCAGATTGGCCAAGAGTTGATTTACTTTTCAGGCATCTGGGCTGAAATAGAAAGAAGAGGCAGCCCATCCCAGGGCACTAAATTAGCCCTCTATAGAAATGCATTTATCATAGGTGGCAAAGCCTTCAAAATGCAGGAGCTGTAAGCAGAAGAAGTGGGCTCTGGGGTCCTGTGTTTAAGTTAGACTGAGAGCTGACCTCCCGGGCTTCTCCAGTGGCTCAGATGGCACAGAGTCCGCCTGCAGCGCAGGAGACGCGGGCTCAACCCCTGGGTCAAGAGGATCCCCTGGGGAAGGGACTGGCTGCTCACTCTAGGATGCTTGCTTGCAGAATTCCATGGACAGAGGAACCCAGCAGGATACCGGGCATGGGATCACAAAGAGTTGGGCATGAATGAACGACTAGCATTTTCACATTTTTTTCAATCTCCTACTCACAAATGGACTCTGAATGACAGAATCAGCCCTCCTCACTCCTCCTTTGTGGGTAGAAGAAGAGGGGGGGTTTACAAAGAAGGAAAGAAATGGAAGCTTCCTGATTCAAGGAGAGAGACGGGTATTCTTATCCATACCTCCTAGTTTTGTTCAGTTTTGATCTTTTGGGTTTTTAGCTTTATAATCTGCCCAATGTCTTCAGTGAAATAGATCCGAGAATTATCATGAGATTCTTGTTTCTACCTGCTCTTTTTGTCATTCTCATCTTCAACATCAGAGTCTTTATTATCATTTATTGAACCACTACCATTGCTCAGCACTTTAGATACTCTTTCTGTAATCTAAAACCCACAAAGTAATATTAATCTATCCTCAGGTAAGGAAACTGAGCCTTAAACACGTTTAAAGATGAAGGGATTTCTGAGATAAATGCTGCAGGCAACATAAAATGAGAATTAAAAAATAAAAACTCCAGAGTTAAACAGTTCAAAATTTTTTCTGCTATACAGCAGAAACTAACATAGCATTGTAAATCAGCTATACTACAACAAGAATCAATTTAAAATGTAAATAACCAGTTTGAATGGGTCCAAAAAATCTTTGCAAGTCAGAAATAAGTCTACTTACTCTTTTGACAACTGTATAGTATATTATAATACAGATCTATCATAATATATTGAGAATTTGTATTGAAGGATATTTAAATATCCTTGCTGCATACAATATGCAATTTTATAATGTATTTATAAGGCTATTTCTTAAAAAATTCTCAGACAAGTGGAATATCTGGCCAATGATATGAAAATAGCACCTATGAATCTTATTTAGCTTATACTTCAGTTATAGGATGTGAAAGTGCCAATTTCCTGATATATCACAAGCACTGAATGTGAATATTATGATTCTTAACTCTTTTTGCAACCTGATGGCTGAGAAATGATAGAAAGAGATTTTCAAGAAAGTGTGAATTAAAGAAAACAATTCTTAAGAACTGAAGTGGCAAGAGGAGGGAGCAGTTACAGGAATGTGAAGGGGTTCAGTTGCAGCTGTGCAATAAAACATGATTTCTTCTTTTCTAACATAAGCGTTTATGCTTACATCTCTCTCTAGGTACCTGTGTATATGAGTTACTCAGTATTGTCTGAGTCTTTGCCACCCCATGGACTGTAGCCCACCAGGCTCCTCTGTCCATGGAATTTTCCAGGCAAGGATACTGGAGTGGGTTGTCATTCCTATCTCCAGGGGATCTTCCCCATCCAGGGATCGAACTTGGGTCTCCTGCATTGCAGGCAGATTCTTCACTGTTTGAGCCATCAGAGAAGCCCCTCTAGGTACATACTTCACCACATTCTACAAATCTGATGTGTTAAAAATTGTTTTCCTTAGGAGGAGGGAAAGAGATAAGCATTTCTCTGGCAACGCTAGGCTTAGGCCTGAGATGATGGTGTTTCCATGGCAACCTCGCACTCCTGGCAGATGGGCTTCTGGCGTGTCCTCCTCCGTGCCTCTGTGACTTGCTCTGATTGGCTGGGCTGACTCTGTGTTTGCTGTAGAAAGTTTTGAACACAAGAGGCAGCAAAGCAGGTCTTTTATCCTGCGAGTCCTTGAATATTTTACAGACACAAGAATTCAGTTCTCCAGTGAGTCTAAAGGACAGAAGGAATGGACAAATTCCTGAGCCTGCTCATCCTTTGGTTACAACTAAACTGTGAGTTAGAGGGATTTGGAAATGGGCAAAGAATTAGCAACTCCCGGATATTCCTCCCCAGGGAAGACAGAAAGTCAGGGAGTTGTACCTGCATGGCTTCTGGGAGTTCCTGTGCAGAGCGAAAAAGTAAACTTAAGTTAGTTTCCAAGAATAATCAGTCGTTAACCAGCCTGTCTCTGTTTCCTCTTTCTGAACAGGGGTGAGCAGTGAGCAGGACGTGAGTCAGAGTCCTGAAACTCTGAGCGTGAGAGAGGGAGACAGCGTGGATCTCAACTGCAGTTACACTGACAGCGCTCTGTACTTCCTGCAGTGGTTCAGGCAGGATCCCGGGAAAGGGCTCACATCCCTACTGTCAATTCAGGCGAATCAGAAAGAGCAAACAAGTGGAAGAATTACAGTCTCGTTGGATAAACCATCAAGACACAGTGCTTTACACATTGCGACTTCTCAGCACAGTGACTGGACCACCTACCTCTGTGCTGTGAGCCACAGCGCGCAGAGGGAACCTGTTCCCAGGACTCAAACTGCAGGTGGGGCTCCAACCACATCCTGGCTTGGCGCTGAGGAAACTTTTTCTATTGAGGGGTTTTCTATATTGACTTTCCTTCCAGATAGAGGCAATTAGCAAGGGTAGGATGATTTGAGAGAATAGCACTGAAACATGTACATTACCACAGGTAAAATAGATGACCAGTGCAAGTTCCATACATGAAGCAGGGCACCCAAAGCCCACGCTCTGGTACAACCTGGAGGGATAGGGTGGCAGGGGAGGTGGGAGGGGTGCTCAGGATGGTGGGGACACAGGTATACCTGTGGCCGGTTCATGCTGATGTAGGGCAAAAACCATAAAATATTGTAAAGTAATTATCCTCCAATTAAAATAAATTAATTTTAAAAAATCTGATAAAATGATCTAAAATTATATTGTGAAATCTTTGATCATTAGATTTTCATCAACTTCAATTTAAATAATAGTTTTACAATCTAAATGGAAAAAGAATTTGAAAACGAATAGATACGTGTATATGTATAATGAAATCACTTTGATATACACCTGAAAATAACACAACATTGTTAACCAGCTCTTCTCTGATATAAAATAAAAAGTCAAAAAATAATAGTTTTGTTGAGATTAAGTAACATTTAACACAGTTCACTCTTTTAAATGAACACCTAAGTGTGCATCTAGTATATTCACAACATGGCACAATCACTACCTCTATCTAGATCTGAAAACTTGTCATCACCCTAAAAGGAAACCACGTGCCCATGACACAGTCACTCCCCACGCTCCCCATGCACACGTCCCTGGAAGCCACCCACCTGCTTTCTGACCACCGGTTTGCTTATTCTATGCATTTCATGCAAATGGAATCTTACAATACATGGCATTTTGGCATTGTTTACTTTGCTTAGCATAATACTTCGGAAGTTCATTCAACTCAGGACCAATTGCTAATGTTAGTTAGTTAGTAAAAGGCTCTCAGTCGAGTCCAACTCTTTGAGACCCCTTGGACTATACAGTCCATGGAATTCTCTAGGCCAGAATACTGGAGTGGGTAGCCTTTCAATTCTCCAGGGGATCTTTCCAACCCAGGGATCAAACCCAGGTCTCCCGCATTGCGGGCGGATTCTTTACCTGCTGAGCCACAAGGGAAGCCACAAGGGAAGCCCAAGAGTACTGGGGAGCCTATTCCTTCTCCAGTGGATCATTGCAGGCAGATTCTTCACCAACTGAGCTATGAGGGAAGCCCAGAGCCAACTAGAGAAAGGCAAAAGTGCATCCTTAGCCAATCACATGGGATGCCATACTGCTAATTAGCCTGCTGACATCGTCCTTGTTCTTCCCATTCCCCTCCACCTGTCTGTTTTGTTAGAACTTTGTCAGTTTTACTGATCCTCTTAAAGAACCAACTCTTTGTTTCATTGATTTTCTCTATTGTTTATCTCTTTTAAATTTTACTGATTTCTCCTTTTATCTTTATTATTTTCTTATGCTTGTTTTGGATTAATTTATCTTTTCCTTGTCTAGGTTCTTCAGGTAGAAGCTTAGATAATCTATCTGAGATTTTATTCTTTTTTAATATTTGCATGTAGTGCTAAAATTTCTCCCTCAATACTTCTTTAGCTGTGTTCCCCCAATTTTGGTATGTTGTATTTTCATTTTTATTGAACTCATGGGAAATTCAATGATTTCCCTTGAGACATTCTCTATGGCCCATAGATTAATTAAGAAGTGTGTTGTTTGGTTGCCAAATGTTTGGGAATTTTCCTGTATCTTTCTGTTATTTATTTATACTATTATTTCATTGTGGTTGGAGAACATACTCTTTATATTTTAATTCTTTTACATTAGATTTGTTGAGCTTTTTTAGGTTCCAAGATTTGCACTTACCTGGTATGTATTCTATGGACTCTTGACAAGAAGTATATTCTGCTCTAGTTGGGTGGAGTGTTGTATAGCTGACAATTAAATCCTACTGGTTAATGGTGTTATTGAGTTCTTCTATATATCTGCTGATTTTCTGGCAAGTTATTCTACCCGTTGTTGAGAGAGGAATACTGAAGTATTTGACTGTATTTCTAGATTTGTCTCTTTTCTTTTTAGTTCTAATTTTTGTTCCACTTATTTTTCAGGTCTGTTAGTTGGTATGTATACATTTAGGATTACTATGCCTTCTCAGCAAATTATCCTCTTCATCAGTAGATAATATTTCTCTGTCTCTCGTAATATTCTTTGTTCTGGAGTCTGTCTACTTTATCTGATATTAATATAGCCATTATATTTTCCTTTGATCAATGTTTGCATAATACATCTTTTTCCATCCTTTTACTTTCAAGATGACTATGTCTTATTTGAAATGAATTTCTTTCAGACAGTTATAGTTGGGTCATGTTTCTTAATCCACTTTTTGTCTGAACTGTTTTGTCACTGGTGTGTTCAGATCAACTTCTGTGTCTTAGTTTCTGTGTGTAGATCACTTGTTTTTAATGTCTTGATATTTTAGGGCTTAGCCTTCCATTTTATTTGATTTTTTGTTTGTGCTTTTTTTGTCCCCTATGTTTTTCCTTCTAACCTGTGAGTTATTCAACATTTTCTAGGATTACACTTCAATTTATCTACAGTGTTTAGTGTGTGTGTCTGTGTGTGAGTTGCTCAGTTGTGTCTGACTCTTTGCGACCTCATGGACTGTAGCCTACCATGGAATTCTCTAAACAAGAATACTGGAGTGCATAGCTATTCTCTTCTCCAGGGCATCGTGTCGACCCAGGGACTGAACCCAGGTTTCCCACATTATAGGAAGATTCTTTTATGGTCTGAGTCACAAGGGACTCTCCTATAGCATTTCAGTCAGTTCTGTTCAGTCGCTCAGTCCTGTCCAACTCTGCGACCACATGAATTGCAGCATGCCAGGCCTCCCTGTCCATCACCAACTCCCAGAACTCCCGGAGTTTACTCAAACTCATGTCCATTGAGTCGGTGATGCCATCCAGCCATCTCATCCTCTGTCGTCCCCTTCTCCTCCTGCCCCCAGTCCCTCTCAGCATCGGGGTCTTTTCCAATGAGTCAACTCTTCGCATGAGGTGGCCAAAGTATTGGAGTTTCAGCTTCAACATCAGTCCTTCCAATGAACACCCAGGACTGACCTCCTTTAGGATGGACTGGTTGGATCTCCTTGCAGTCCAAGGGACTCTCAAGAGTCTTCTCCAACACCACTGTTCAAAAGCATCAATTTTTCGGTGCTCAGCTTTCTTTATAGTCCAACTCTCACATCCATACATGACTACTGGAAAAACCATAGCCTTGACTAGACAGACCTTTGTTGGCAAAGTAATGCCTCTGCTTTTTAATATGCTATTTATTTTGGTCATAACTTTCCTTCCAAGGAGTAAATGTCTTTTAATTTCATGGCTGCCTTATAGGATTTAGATGTGTCTTATTGTATAGCTATTTTTATATGGTTGCTCCAGTTATTTCATTTACATAACACAGTCTATTGGTAATATTATTTTACCTATTTGAATGAAGTATATAAATATTGCCTCCCTTTACACCTATTTATTCTCCCCTATTCATAAAGTAGTTTTCTTTAGTATTTCCCCCATGTGTGTTTAGAGCCTCATTAGACAGTGTTATAATTTTTCCAGATATATAATTATATTATCTTATTATATATATTTTGTTATATAACATATATAATATGCTATAATATATTTCCACCAAATATAATTGAGGAAATTCAAGAGGAAAAGTCTATTGCATTTATCCATATTTTTGCTTATTGTATTCTTTATTCCTTCTTGTTGTTTCAAGATTCTTTCCTTTATAATTTTATTTCTGTTTATAGAGCTTCCTTTAGACATTATTTTAGGATAGGTCTTCTGGTGACCACTTTTCTTAGTTTTCCTTCAACTGAGAATGTCTCAATTTCGCCTTTATTAGTGAAGGCTTCTGGATTAATGGCTCTTCTCTTTCTGCAGTTGAAATATATTGGATTATTTCCTTCTGGCTCATAGTTAAATCTGGAAACTAAAAAAATTGTAACATTGTGATTTTATGTTTCATTCTAAAAATTATTTTGTATCCAACACTTAAAAGTTGAAGGATAGCTGATTGACAATGTCACGCTAATTTCTTCTGCAGAGCAAAGTGACTCAGTTATACATATATAGACTTTCTTTTTTATTTTCTTTTCCATTATTGTTTACCCCTGGATATTGAATATAGTTCCCTGTGCTATACAGTAACAAGGGAATTTTTAACTCATAATTCTGTTTTTTTAAAAAGCCAAATAGTTCAAGGCTAACAAGGCTCTTCTGTACATAATCATAATGCTTTGAAATTCAACCACAGAGGGCAGTTAAAAGGTGGGGCATGTTAATGAAAACAGTGAACTTCTCCATAGTTATCTATTTGGCCTCTGGAAGGCACTGCTGCCTAAATTGGAAATTGCTTTTCTGTAAAAGATCAGAAGAACCTCACAAAAACCCTATGGTTTAAAGTGATATTCTGACTATTTTTTACACAGTGAGATGTAAAGCATCTCAGACACCAGAGATAGGCATTTTGTTAAGACAGCTTCTCTTCCTAACAACCTTCCTACAATCTCCATCAGAAGAAATATATATCCTTTGTCATTCTTAATTTCAGGGAAACCTGGGTTCAAGTCAGTCAGTCTTCAAACTTATGTGTGGGGAACCTGTTAGAAAGGAGCTCACTGCCTCTTCACTGCTCCACTATGACCCTGGTGTTCACCTTGATGCTTGAGATGCTCCTGTTTCTGAGTGAGTATTGCTCCATTTTACTCCTTTGTCCACACGTGGAATATTGCTCCATGTTGAATAGAGACTTTTTGTTTTAGCTGAGTTCACTGATTCAGCACTGATGTTTCAGCAGGAGCTGGAGCTCAGTCAGTGACCCAGGCTGATGACCACATCACTGTCTCTGAAGGAGCCCGTCTGGAGCTGAAGTGCAACTACTCATCTTCTGTTTCACCATACCTCTTCTGGTCCGTGCAGTAGCGGGACCAAGGACTCCAGCTTCTCCTGAAGTACGTGTCTGGAGACAATCTTGTTTCAGGCATCAAAAGTTTTGAGGCTGAATTTAGGAGGAATGAGAAGTCC